ATGTCATTTGAGATGGTTTTCTAAAACTGAGTGTAAACCCTCCGGTGGCTTGTAATAAAATGCAGTGATGGAGGTGTGCCAGACACACTTTTATCACTTGACAGAGGAGCACAGGCCTCAGCAGTGAGGTGTTAATGGGGATAAATAAAGCCATGTCCCTGTGCCCCACTTGCAGGTCCATGATCGAAGCCTGTTCTCTTTAGCGGTGTTTTACTCTGCCGTAAAATTTTAGCTGTGTAACTGCTACATGCTGTGAAAATGTGAACGCTCCCAAACCAGAGCAAGAACATTTTGGAGGTGGAAGAAGCAATTCTTTCTTTTCCCAAGTGGAAATCACGAGTTAGAGTTAAATTCATGGAGTTAGAGTTTGTTCTGAGACCCTTCGCTGAAGGACTCCCTCGAGGACCCAGAGAAGGTTTGTTGTGATATTCCCATTTTGTGATAGGTCGCCCATCGGGGCCTGTGAAATGCTCCGTGTTCAGAGTGGAATATTCCCCAAAATTCTTACCATTGTGGCCAAGCTTTGGTGAGCAACGCTGCAAACAGAATATGCAGGGAATCAATACCAAACCAAATCCTTAACCAACCTTTCTCTTCCCTCAGTACGTAACTGCTGTTGCACGGGGGAGTTTTTTTTGTCTGTGCATCTTCTACCAGAGGCACGACGTGACATGCACAGCTCTCCACTAAGTGGGTCAGCAGCAGGGTTCTGCTCCTAAACCTCTGCCTCCCTGATGTGTGTAGCTACTACAAGGTTTAGAGCCTCAGCCGTTGGGGCCGGTATAACCTCCTTCCTGCTTCATAACATGAGGCTGCCACTGCCTCTGTAGATGATTTAACTGTTTCTCTGCTCGACACCAAGCTTCACTAATAATTTCTTCACCCTCAGAAGCCCTCTTGCAAGTGGGTGTCTGTGCAGGGACTGCAACGGAAACACCTTGAGGCTTTGCAGGTCTTAGAACAGGCAGCTCCTACTTGTCCTGCTGGATGAGCTGAGGTAAATCTTGCAGCCTTTCCATAGCTTTTCATGTGTCTGTCTTCCTTAAGATTCAGTCATGATATTTATCTGCTGAAAAACATTATATGAGGAATAGGTTGAAAGCCTTGGATGACATTTTTGAAAAATGTTCCTATAAGGCTTAACCTAAAAAAGAGGATGGCTTTCAGCATTGGGGTTTGGTGCCCTTCCTGACTCTGGCTCTTTTGGCACCAGTTAGATCCGGTGCTATCAGCAAGTTTAGGTGGGAATTGATCCTGCAGAAAGGAAAGGAAAGCTGGTTCCATTCCAGGAGGATTAGCTGTCATGAGTGTAAAGTCATGGCTTTAGCCATCCATCAGGGATGGCTCCTGTAATTGTCCCAGCTTTGGTCCATGTTGGCTGCAAGGGAAGGTATTGCTCATGGGCTGACTTTTCCCTGTAAATAGCCTTGTAGCTGCAATTCTCCCTCCAGCACTCCAGCACCTCCAGCCTTAGCTTGCATGGTCGTGATGGATATTTTACCTTTCTTCTCTGCCTGCAGTGAATCAAGGGAGTGGCAATTCAGCTCAGTCTGAGACAAAACAGCCCTGATGAGGCTCTTTTTGGGCTTGTGCATCTCTACACTTAGTTTGACACGAGTTGTGAAATCAAAGTAGTCCCTCCCTTCACTGACACTGAGACAAGAAGAAAACACACTGATACGTCTGTGCTTGCTGACGGAATATTTTGTGCAGGGATATTTCTACTACTTTACTACCCATTAGAAAGCCATTATTAGAAAGCCAATTAGAAAGCCATTTCCCCCCAATAATGATAGCCAGCATAAACTTAATGACTTCTGGAAGTCTGAAACTGGGATGAAAGGGTGTGGGGTTGCCTTATAAATCTCCTGGTCGAGAATTGTTCTTCACTTTATCAGTGTATTTGATTACTGGGGCCATTGGCAGTGAGGTAGCTGCAAGCTGTTTAGCATAACCCTATTTTCCACTGCTTTCTGTAAAAGTCTGACTTAAAAGTGCTAATTGAAAGTGCTTAGACAAACGTCTGCCACTGTCTGTGAAGTGCTCACTGAACAGAGAAACACATCTGATTGTGATCAACAGCACCTCGTGTCTGACTTAGTGTCTCTTCAGCCTTGCAGCATGTAGTCTCTCTGGGATTCCCAGTGAGATCTGTGGGCTGAATGGTTCTAAGTAGTCCTCCATCATATGCATTGGGTTGTAGAAGCTAAACATGAAAAGGCCACCCGGTAGTAAATCAGTCTGGGGTGAGTTACTGCTGTGAGACAGACTTGGCAGGGGAAGGGAAGGGCTAAGTTGACCTAGAAACAACCATTTGAATAATAACTCTTGCCTTTTTGTACACTTAACACCAGACTGGATTGGACAACAGAAAATTTACAGCAGGGAACACCTTTTGTATTAACTAGATTAAACTTTTGCTATCCCTGATGAAGATGGGTTTGTAAAAGCACATGTGTCTGATCTAACGCCCCTCCAAAAGCTGACAGAGCTGCACAGGTGGCATCTGAGACCCAAGCTTGGTGATATCCAGGTCCTGCAGTTGCCCTGCACATGGTTTGCTGTCTCTAGGAGGCAACAGCAGGTTTACTTCAGGAAAGCCCTCTGCACCAAGTTCTTGCTAAACTGAGAAGTGAAAGCAGTTGCTTATTCTGAGAATGACTGACTGTTTTGATGAAGGAAGGAGTCCCCTTCCAGAGATGAGCAAGTCACTCCCCTCCTTTCTGTTTCTGAGGAGGCTCTGGAAGGATTTGGAGGGTAAAAAATTGCCTTATTTAATTATATACTCAAAGTTAATCTTTTTCATCTTCAGGTTCAAAAGGTAGATCATTTATTGTTGTTTTCTGCACACACTGATTCCTCTTCCCACAAATCAAACAGCTGTTGGAGATATACCTGTCTTGTTCCTGTTACAGTGCCCTGGACTTTATTTATTGGAGTCTTTATTCCATGATGTGCTAGAAAACCATAGAATCATAGAATAGTTTGGGTTGGAAGGGACCGTAAAGATCATCTAGTTTTAACCACCCTGCCACAGGCAGGTGCACCAATATTTGGCCCTTTGTGGTATTATAGTATTTTCCTTTTTTAAATCTGTTTCTTCCCAAATAAACCAGAGGGAAACTTGGATTATTTAAATTTTGTAGTAGTACCTCCCCAAAAGGGATCCTAGTAGGAGTATGAAGGGCTCACAAGAATCCTAAAGCATCTTAACTTGACTTTCCATAGCGCTAACATTCATTGGTGTAAAAAAGTGGAAGCTAATGACCCAGAACATAAAAAAATGTCATAATTCAGGCTGCCTAACATCTGGTATTGTAACCTGAATCCCGATCATATCAGCAGCTTCCTCCTTGGATTTAAATCTGAGGACAACAAACGCTAATTCTGAATTTCATGGGCACGAGCTCTGCTTTGGGTCATGTTGTGTTTCATAAATATGTGATGGGGTATTGATGATGAATACAAGAGTTTTCCTCAGCACTAAAGGAACTGGTGGCAAGGGAAAAAAAAACCAAAAACCCACCCAGTAATGTAAATAGTTTTTAGCTTTTTTTTGAAAAAGCAAGTGGCTGGACATTTTTTCAGGCAGCAAGTTCAGTGCCATTTTGCTGTGGTGGAGTTGTTGTATCTTCCTGCTGCATTTCCTTGGGTGTCTTGGTTTTGCAGATATGGTAGTGGGGAAGTTTTAAGCTCAAAGTCTTATTTGACCCTGTAATCTTAATATAATTTAATGATCAGTAGGACTATCTTTTGTCCCTGCATAAAGTGAGGAGCCTCCTGACTCCACACACTGGCTTTGATGCAAGGGACACCTTTCCATTCACTTATTTCTCATGACTATCACGGACATCAGAGCTGTTAAGACACCATGCCTGGTGTAATCCAGGTTTTTTCTTCCCTCAGTTGTTTTTGCTCAGATTTTTCCATCAGTGTGCCCAAACAATGGTGGAGCCTCTTCCTTCTGTGAGTGAAGGAGGATTTGGCCTCTGCTTCTCCAGTCTTGGAGTGTCCCAGGTTTGTTTGTTATTTCTATCTACAAGTAAAAAAACATAGAAATATATAAATAAAACCCAGGATAGCTACATAGAAATATATAAAAAAACCCCAGGATAGCTACATTCCTTATGAACAGGATTATCTTCCAAATTTTAGCTGGCTAACTTTCAGACATTTGGGCTGGGCTGTCTGATGGTGGCATCAGAGAAACACTGCCTGCTTTGCCCTGGCATGTAGCTGTGGGAGCTCTTGGTTGTTGGGAGAAGGCACTGCAGGATCTGCCTTTGAATGTAACCACAGCTGCATCAATAAATCTCTTGTGCTGGGATTGGTTTTCATGGGCTTTACTGAGAAACTCAGTTTTGGGGAAGATAAAACGCTTCATTTATAGCCATGTTACTGAATTTTGGTAACCCCTAAAAGTAAAACTCTTAAATGAATCACTTAATGAGGGCCATGGGAGAGAGAAAATTTTATGGTGGACAGATTTAATCTGGATTTACAAGTAGCTCAGCTTTTACGGTCTGTATTTCTTAAACTATTACCAGGAACCATGGTCTAACTCAATCCAGATGCGCACTAAAAACGTCAGAGGAGGAAAATCCTATTAAAAAGGAATGTGCTGGCATGTTTCAAGGGTCCAGGCCATGTTTCAGTGATTCACTTCAGGGTGAACCCCCTGCACTGAGCCAGCAGTGAGGGGCAGCTTTGGTGTGCAGCCTCCCTGCCTGCACGTTGAGGAGCAGTGGGATGTGCCTGGATGGGGGTGTTGGGGCTCCCCAGCTCTGTCCCGGTCTGGAGCAGGGGGCTGCCGGCAGTGCAGGCAGGCAGCAGGTGGGCAGGTGGCTGGAGATAAACCCAGGGCCACGTGCAGGAAGGCTGTCGCTGGGCCTGAGCTGGGGGGCTGAAGCTGCTCTCTGAAACCACAGCGCCGGGCGAGCTGCCACCAAGGGCTCTCGAGGCGAGCGCCCGCAGCACGGCCTCCCTCCCCGGCCCCAGGGCTTCCTCTCCTTCGGCTGGTAGGGCTGCTGCTGGGGTCTTGCTGGAGGGTTTTTTCTTACCTTCTTGTCAGCAGCACTTGGTCTGAATGACCTTTTCTTTTCTCCCCACCCCACTGTACTTTAAAAAGTAAAAGGCCGCAGAGGGTTGTTGCAGAGGTGCTGGCAGAGCTGCTTTAGAGGTGTGAGTATGGAGCAGGATGAGGGAGATGCCAGCCTGGGGTCCAGATATGTGAGTGCAGGGACCTAAAGTGGCAGCAGAGAGTGCCTGGGCACGGGGGAGAGCAGGGTTACATTGCTGGGTGGGAGCAGAGAAGAGGAGGGGAGCAGAAGTCCAAGCTTTGGAAGGAGGAAATGTTGGGAAGAAACTTCTCAGCAGCAGCACAGCTTGTGAAGGAATTCCAAATGTACTGGCAGGCAATTGGGATTGAGAAGGGCTGGCAACCTGGTCATGAAATGCAGCTCCACTTATTGACTCCATCTCCTTTCCTGCCATCTCATCTGCCACGGCTCTGCATATCCCTACGCAGGCTGTGTCAGCTCCTTGTACAAAGCTTTCCAGAGCTTCTCCTGCACAGACTCCTAAAAAAAAAAAAAAGTAATTACCAAATGCTGTAAAGTTTAAGTTGCATAAGTTTATTTCTGTTTGTCCTTAACATCCACATGGTCTCCCAGGTCTCCCAATAAATGTCATCCCTGCCATGCAACGGGCACTGTAACTGTGCAGCTCCTTGCAGAGGAGCACGTGGCGAGCAAGAGTAAATGCAACCTTTCTAATCATTATTCCTTCCCCCTTGACCAAGTGACCTCATCTTCAAGCCCTTGTGTATTTGTTCACCTGGGAATCGACTTGTGCCTCTGCTGCTTTCAGATATCAGGAGACAGAGATGCTGTTTGACTGAGGCACTTTTAAGCAGTAAGTTTGTCATCATTTCCCATGCAAGGTTCCCATTCCTTGCCAGCCTGTGACCTGACACAAGCCCTGCTCTGTGCCTATATTTAGACATCTTGCTTTAAAACCCTTCTGCATTTCACTGGACTGCTGAAATTTGGACTGGTAAAACACCGATACGTTACTATTGGAAAGATGCTGTGCAACTTCCAGTAGGCACTGGGTAATCTGTGAGGTTAAAAAAGTGGGAATTATCAGTGAAATGTTTATGATTTGTGCTTTGCTCTGTGTGAGGCATCTGAGTGTGACTGCTCCCTCCAGCCTGGCAGGTTTGGCTCTGCCCAGCTCCAATCCCTTGCAGTGCTGCAGCCTTGGCCTCAGCCCCTCAAGCCACGGCTTAGGGCTGATGAGAGACAGAACATACATTTTGGTGGTGCCTAAGGGACCTGTTTGTGCATGCTGTGCAAATACTGGATAAGCAGTAACCTCTCCTCTAGCTATTTAAAAACCCAAACTGGTCCTGTTTACATGAATGGATGTTCACTGCTTTAACTGCTACTCGTTCACTATGCTTCCTATCTCTCTTAGACCTTTGTTTCAACAGGCTTTGTATCTTCTGTCTTTTTCTCTCTCACTTTCTACTCCAGAAACCTGTTTCAAAGTTTATTATTTAGAAAGTGCTCTGTACTTTTCTTTCTTCTTCTTTTTTTTTTTTTCTTTTAAAGAATGCAGAGGTTAAACATATTAAGGAAAGAAATGACACAAACTAACAGATAGGGCGAGGGGAAGTAGCTTCAAGTTGTGCCAGGAAAGATTCAGGTTGGATATTAGGAAAAATTTCTTCACTGAAAGGGTGGTTAAGCATTGGAACAGGTTCCCAAGGGAGGAGGAACCATCCCTGGAATGTTCTGGACACATCCAGCTCAAGGCCAGGGAACACTGGGCAGACTGCTGCACTATGGAAAAGCAGCTGAATTACTGCTAGAAACAAATTGCCTCTGGGTGCTGCTGAGCTGTATTCCCTAATGCTGCATTTTAACTACCAAGTCAAATGTGATTCAGGCTGATTTTATGTTGAACCAACTCTGGTGTAAAATATTGCCCTGTGAAGAAAAACTCTGGGAAGTTCACCTCAGCTTGTTTGTTGGTTTAATATACAGTGTTGGGCAAATAACTTAATCTCTCTGTCTTTATTTGTCCCATGTATGTGAAATTCTATAATCCTGAAGAAATGTGGTAAAGGTTATTGTTTACAAAGTGCTACGAACTACATTTTTTAAATAATAGAAAAAGAGGTGGGGAGAAGAGAAACCATCTAGGAATTTAATCCTATTTCCACGGATTTGTTTAAAAAAAAATGAATGTGAACTCAGTTAATACAAGCAAACTTGAGCAGTGCAACAGGCCACCACCATTAACTATATCTCTGCTAAGGAGACTTTCCTCGTGGTGGTGTGTGTGTGACACCTGAATGTCATCTGCAAATGTCCTCTAAAGGAGTCATCAGGGTGACCCGAAGGGCTGGGGAGAAATCCCAGCCTGTGGAATGGAGCACTGGAGTAACTCAGCACTGGATAGTTCAACTACCCTCCATCACCTGTGGTTAATAAGAATTGCCACGCTTTGTTCACCTTAGGAAGGAGATGAATCACACCCGTTCTTTTCAATTTATCTTCATCAAAGGGCTTCACAGGCTATTGATCATTTTTGTCTTTCTCTTTTTAACTCCCTTGAATTTTTTGCAAAAAGCACAACTCAGATAAATTACTAAGTCATTTTATTTTTTTTTTAATAACAGCTTTTCCTTTTGGGGACGGACCCTGAGCTGCATATTGGATCTATAGTTAGTTAGGCTTTGATTTTTTTAACTATACTTTGTGAACTTGCTACGTGTTTACAAACTGATACAGGGGCAGTTTCATCAGTTTTAGCTGCTAAAACCCAACAGTGTTACTGTTTTGACATATAAATATATGCAACACGGATGAGTAAATGAACATCAAGATCTCAATTAGGGTAGTAGGAGATCTAAATAAAACAGAGTAGTGATTTCAGCCTGAGTCTCCCACTGAGTACGATAGTGTCAATCTCTCTTTACATTTAACACAAATCTTTTTTCCTAAGAAGCTCTTCCCTAAAACTTTTTTCCAAACAGATGTGTTTTCTCACACACACTCAAGAGTTAGTTGATAAAGGAATCCCCAACCAGTAATGAATCCCTGCAGGAGATTCTTTTCAGAAATATAAAAGAAGCCAGAAAATAGATGCTCTGTGTGAGGCTTTCTTGCAGTAACTGCAGTGTTAGCAATCCTTGGTCTAACTCACCCTGTTTAGAGAGAGGGTTGGACTTCCCGTGGTTCTTTTCTACCTGATTAATCCCAGGATTCTTATATTCCGAATTCCATCTCCTTTGCAAAGGGACATTTGCCCTCATATTGGTTACTTTTTCAAGTAGAGCTATCCAGCACTCCCACATTTATGCCTTCAAGCACCCAGTGGTACCAACGGCCTTGTTTGTTGATGTATCTGATATTTCTGTACAGATGCTACATCAGTTCTTGGACTGACAGATCCCAGACTCTGCTACTTACTGGATGGATTCCTCTTCCTCTACGCAGTCGTCATGACAGCGCTGTTTGTGAAAGCCAAGGTCAGTCTAACCAAACACAGACGGCTTTGCTGGTGCAAACTAGTCAGGCTGGTCTGGAAAGTGGGAGTGGAGAGCAAGCAAGTCTCTTAGAATGAGACATTTTTATTGTTTTATTTTCTCTCTCCTTTTTTTTGTTTGTTTGTTTGTTTGTTTGTTTGTTTGGATTTGGTTTTCTGGGTTTTTTTTGTTGTTGTTTTGTTTTGTTTTGTTTTTTTAACTTTCCTCTGTTTCTGGTGTCCACTTGAGCAACCTGGGGAAAGCTCTTTCCAAAGGTTCATGAACGGAGAGGAAGAGTATATGAGAGTGTTTTGATGCTACAGTTATGGATGCCATCAGAGGTTCTGGATATTGTTCTTGGAAATGCCTGATCAAGCACAATGTGGATATTTTCTGCTGCTTTGTCATTGAAAAGGGATATACAGAAAGTTCAGGATAGATGACCAGCTTGTGAAGGCTGTATTAAAATGTCTCAATAATTCAGACATCTTTGATAGTATGAGCATGATGATGCAGATGATATAACCCAAACAACCACGGGAGAGGAGTTTGTAATTGCCACAAACACGATTCTACGCCTGAATATAAACACAGCTAGAGAATTACTTTTAATAAAAATTTAACACGTGATAATAACTCAAGAAGGCTAAAGCAATACAGAATGTAGTTGGATGGGTTTTTTAAAAAAGACTAGAACACAGAGTAGCTGCTCTCAGTGACCTAAAACTGCCCCTTTTTACCTGAAAGTTTGGCTCAGCAATTGGCCGCCCATAAATAGTGTGAGCAGCTGAACCAGAGTAGCTACAGAAGGGAAATCCTTTACCCACTAGTTAGTCACCACTCATGCCACTGTGGTGGCATCACAGGTGCTGCTCCTGAGGGGAGCACAGCAGAACACCAGGAACTTTGCAGGCAGCACTTTTGCTGGAGTGCTTATGCTCGGCAGCAACCCCAGATACCCAGTTTTCCTTAACACAGGCTGCAGCCGTGATTTTATAACCTGGTGGAGCTACTTTTGATGGCACAGGACTGCGGCAGGAACAGAATGGAGATACAAAATCTGAGGGGGGGAGTGCAGGGAACAAACCCAGGTGCCTTGACCTGCGAACTGGTGTTATGTGCAAGTAAAATGACTTTGCTGAGAGCAACCTGGTGTGGGGATAAAAGTGCCAGTGCAGCAGTGGCTTGTACTGCCTGTAGCCCCATCAGTGCCATGGGGTTGCCCTGTTTCTGATGAGAGTAACTCATAGGAGAGAGGGAATGAAAGGACTGAAGGGAGCCACTGTCTCTCTGCTCATGGTTTGGTCTCTCTTCCAGCTTAGCCAGGCCTCTGAACCACAGCTGAGACCAGGCCAGGATGACACGTACAATGTAAGTAACTGCTGGTCTTTGTTTCTAAATCTGTTACCCAGATAGACCTTTTCGGGCACTTATAAAATAGTGAGTTGCCTGTAGGTTAGAAAAACTTTGGATGATCCAGCTAATGAGCAGGCTATACAAGAAGAAAGATAAAACCTCACAGGGGCAGTTTCTGCTGTCACCAGTCTGGCCAGATGGTAGATGGATATTTGGGCTGTAGGTTCCTGACTTGAAAGAGGACAGAACTAAGATCCTGCCTGTCTTTCCTAACTAAATTGCTCACTCATGGCAGCGTTAAACTCTAGCTAGTTTTGCTATGTCTAGTTGTCTTTTGATTTTAATTTTTTTTTTCTCAGGCTTTTGGCCATAGCCACATCCTGCTGTGAGTTCTGTTTAACTGTGTAATGTATGAACACTAATGCAATATTTTTCAGTTTAAGTGTAGCCTGTCACCTTTTCAATAGCACTCTGTCAGCTGTGTTATGCTGACCTGAAATCCCTCCTTTGCCCTGGTCTAAGGTAACCGTTCCCAGCTGAGAATTGTATTGGCCATAAAATTCCTGCAGCTTCTTGATGCAGATTTAGATCAACTGCTCTGCAAGAAGAACAAAGCTCATGGATCTTCACTCTCCAGTGGCAGAGAAAGCAGGAAAGTCAGTCCCTCCTCCTCACACTCTCTGATTTTCAACTCATTTTTATTTAAGAAATGTTCTTGATGCAGCAGCTTGTAGTTTTGTGCTGCACAGACCACTGTTTGTCATTTCCATGGCTTAGTTGTAGATATTTTTGTTGACAGTTGCAATAAGGAGTAAAATTAATTTCTAGCTCAGTTACAGTACTTGTGAACCAAGCTGGGTTCCCTTTCTTTCCTGTGTTAAGTCAAGATCTATTACCTCATTATCACGTCCATGATAACGAGCTTCTTGCTTTCTTGTTTCAGAAGCTGACTCGCGGGCACCGAGATGACTACGATGTTCTGGGGGCGAAGCGAGGTGCAGACCCTGAGCTGGGCGGGAGACACCAGGTAACCTCCTCCCACACGTGCCCCTTCTTCCCTCTAATCTGGTCCCTTCCATCTCGTGTGTAACCGCGGCTCAGACACGCAGGCAGGCGCTCGCCGCGCCTTTGCTGAGCACAAGTGCCTTCCTGGAGAGGGAACGACACGATCCGCGTCGTAACTGGGGAGTTGGCAGCGCGGGGGGAGAGGAGCAAACCTCCCCCTGCCCTTTGGTCTCTGCCCCCCCCCCCCCCCGGCACTTTGCTGAGAGCTTTTGCAGCCAGCCGGGGTTAGGAAGTGACACCCAGCCCGGGGCGGATGCGGAGCAGGCGAGGCAGCAGTGGGTGTTCCACCAGAGCTCGCTGCATGTGCTGCTGCCAAACAAGCGCCCACAAAGTGGAGCAGCGGCCCAAACAATCGTTTCTGCTGCAGAGCCCATCACTTTCAAAGGAAAAGGGAGGGAAAAACCTCCTGCATCGGCGTGTAAGGGCTTGCCCGCAGGTGACAGCGGCAGGGACTGAGCAGAGAAGAACTAAGTTTTACCAATTATTAAAAGGAAATCAGTTTTCCAGAGAACAAGTTGCCCGAACAGAGCCTTGTGGGGGGAGACAAGATGAGCTGTGATGGGCAGGGCGAGTCCACAGAGCCGTAGCTGTGCCATAGAGCAAATGCACAGGCACGTACAAAGCGGAGGGGGATGCTGGTGGTGCAGCTTGTGGGCAACATTCTTCTTTTGTTTTACAGCAGAGAAGAAAGAATCCCCAGGAAACTGTCTACAGTGTGAGTAGAGAGCGCTGGAGGGGTGGCTGGAAAGGGGAGTTTCTGTTTCATGGGAGACCTTTTCCCCCTCTACCCAATTTCAGCTTTGGTTCAAATTTAACAGCTGCTTTCAAAGGCTTCTCCTCTTACACAACAAATCCCCCCAAGCCTTTTTTTTTTTTGGCTAGAAAATTTCTGCTCTCTTCTCTGTGATAAGAGAAAAACAGTGACTGTCTGGGGAGATGTGGAAAAGAATTTGGATCAAGACACCTGCTTATCCCTTCATGTTAGCCATTAGTGACTAACCAACCTTTATCCCATGTCATCAGTGCTGCAGTATTTTATGTGCTTGTTCTCCAGCCTCTGTGACTGCTCTCTGGCAAAGGCCAAGTGCCAGTGCATCTAAGAGTGGCTGCTTAGGAACCTCTTAGGAAGCTCTTTAATTGATTTGACTTTAGCTAGATGTGGTGGTCTGTGCTCCAAAGGGTTGATACATTAATGTTAATGACCATGTCTTAACTCGGGTCTTTCCGGGTGTTCTTGCTGAGAAATGAGCTTGTTTCCAAGGCTGGCCTCCATCATTATTGAGTCAGACACTAATCACAGCTGGTTTGTAAGTGTTTGGGAACTGCTTCCCCACATGGAGGGAGAAAGAAAGAGCTCCTTTTTCTTAATCTTCACCCTGCAGTGTTAAGAATTCCCTTTTCTCTGGGCCTGAGCCTCATGGTCGGGTTTGTCTCCTGAACAAATGCTGCTTAAAGCTTTACTTTGGGGTTGTAGTGTATGGCACTCATCTAGATAAATGACTTGGCTGAGAGCAGAGATATATTCAAGTGTTTGGAGATGAGGTGGTATTGATATGCTACATAGATTTCATCACATATAGCATCTATTTACATGCACATCAGACAAGTCGCACTGCTATCCCTTCTTCTCTGGAACAGACTGAAGTTTTGAAGGCAAAGCAGTCCCAGAAGCAGAGGCTTGGAGTGTGGTCACCCAGGGGCTGGCTTGGCTTTTCTAGAAACAAGCTGACTCTTTCCCCCTCTCTGCTTGCAGGCACTGCAGAAGGACAAGATGGGTGAGGCATACAGTGAAATCGGAATGAAGGGAGAGGTGAGTTTTACTTTCCTTCCTGGTGAAATTTTTCCCAGTATGAGAAATCCTTCATTGCTACTCCCTTACGGAGCAGCCCCTTGCATGAGGCAGTGTCCTTGTTGCACAGCACTCCCACTTACAGCTGGGAGCTGTTTCCTGTAGTAACCAGTTCAGTGCAGCAGCAGGACAGACACGTAGCTCTGGTCTTAGAGAAGCCATAAACCCAGGTGGAGATCAGGCAGCTTTGTCTCACTGGCATTACAAACACCAGCAGTGTCCCTGGGCGCGCTGAATAACGTCAGCAGAAAACATTCCAACTTTTGGACAGAAAACTCTGCTGGCTGCCCTGGCTGAGCGGGCAGAGGGCCTGAGATGGGTGAGGAGTAGCTGAAGGAGTGTCTGTTGTCAAGTGCTGCAATGTCTGTGGCCCAGCAACTCACAGCAGCTGAGCACGTTCCTCCAGAGCAATTGGGAGCTGGAGGTTCACCGTTCCCCCTCCATGGGCTGCCGAGCCTGGATGGCATTACAGGCACAGGAAACCACCTGCGAGCTCCTCCTTGGGCCTGCCTTCAGATAAGGAATGGGGGACACATTCTCATTCCCCCAGCTCCCCTCTCAAACATTTAGGAAGGTACACACCAGTCGTATCTCCAGCTACAGCAAATGGACAGGTTTTGCTCTGTGCACAAACTGCTGGGGGAGGGGAGCTTGTGTTGAAAACAAACCATCTGGGGACACTTGTTTATGGCAACATGAAAAATTGCTCTGACCTACAGAGGTTCTATATTATGTCAAAATGTCATATATATATATATATAACCTTTCATTTCCTCCTGAAACATGAAAAAAGGGGCATTTCAAAGCAAAGTTTAGTGCTGAGAAATGCTGAAGTAACACTGACATTTAATCCCCTCCCCTTTTATGTTCTGATGCCCCTTTGCCATAGTCAAGCTCTGTTCATGAACTATGGGTCTATAAAGTTGCACTGTGTTTTTATGAATGTTTCTGTTCCTGGAGGGATGAGAACACCAAAACCCGTGTCCCATTCTAGATATATGATCATTTAAGAGGTTGCTGCAATTGTAACTGTAGCAGGCACTACTCCTTGCCACATGTTTTTGATTGTCTAATACTAAATAGTCAGTGTCTATAGGAATGCCTCCAAATTTCTATACATCCGATTAATCAAAGGAATAGCAGCACTGTAACAGTATGACAGGAAAATATGTCAGCAAACCAAAATAATTTCCTTTTACTGGTCCAGATTTATCAGGTGTTTTCCCTTTTGTGAAGAGCAGGTCCAGGCCAAGCACAGCTGCCAACCCTCAGTACAGGACAGGGGAAGTCAGGGGGTTCTTTATTTTTGCATGATAAGGAAAAACACCCATTAATCTGTGCTTGTTTTTCTTTCCCAAAGCAGCAGAGGCGGCGAGGCAAAGGCAATGAAGGTGTCTACCAGGTAGGCAACACGTCCAGCAGCTGCTCCCCTCATCTGTCTTCATGGGTTAATTGTAGCCTGTAGTTACATATCCAACTGCACTGTCAGTGGGATGTGATGGAACAGAGCTTTCAAAGCATCTTTCTGAGGGCAGTTACTGAGATTCAGGGCAAAGACCACACTGATGGCACTTTGATAAGTGGCTGCACATTCCAAATACACCTCCTGCCCTGGTAGGAACCATTTCCATGGCCCTACACCTTGGAGAAGCACCTTTTGACTGTGGCAGATGATGCACAGAATTCTGCCTCCAAACTGTTTATTGCTTAAATGGAAACCTTCAGGTTGCCAAGCAGCTGTTGTAACTCAAGGCATCAGTGGTTCAGGGCCCCTCACTATAGCACAGAGCACAGGCTGCCCAGCACCTCCAGTCCCTTGGTGCACTGGGGGGGTTCAGTGTTGCACACACCTGACAAAGGGCAAGGAGTCCCTCAGTGAGGCCTTAGCTGGGTCACCATGCATAACTGTTCCAAAATGCATTTTACTTTCTGTAGTAGCCTGTACATTGCCACTGACGTCTCAAAATGACAAAAATACAATACATATAAAAAAGATCTTCAGGTTGCAGCACATGCCAGGGAGCTTTTCTGTAACATGGTGATTCTGTAGCTAAAGGTACCTTTCTTCAAGCCCAGCTCTACTGAGATATCACAGGAGCCTGATAAGCAGCACCAACCTCCTAGTGTTCTCAGTACACCACTAAATATTCATAGCAGGGAAGTGAAGGGTAGCTGGAAGTTTTACAAGCAGGCACCAGGTGTCTCACTAGATCCTCTCTGTTGGAAGCCCCAGTTCTCTCTGCTCTGGAAGGCTCCTGGGCTGACCTGCAACTCTGCTGCATCTTCTACTGCCTTGCTCTTGAAGCAGCTGTTCCCATCCCTGCCACAGGGATCTGTAACACACAGGTCACAGCTGACTCACCAGAGCAGGCTGGCAGGCAAAGGATTCCTGGAGTGGCAGGAGGGACCGTGAGGGGATGCTTCCCGGGGTTCACAGCCATCTGAAGCTCTGCTGCCAACTTACTTACCTAGAGCTGCATCTGACTTCCTTTCCAAATCAAAGAGAAGTCCAGAGAACAAAGTTCATGATTTGATGTCTTCATTTTGTTACCCTACTTCACTCTAGCATCAGTTAGGTCTTAATAATATGCGAATAAAATGCACTCTAAAGATCTTCATAACCAGTTAGGATGAGCTGCTGTAGTCATATGTTCATAAGAGTTACTCAAAATGTACCTTGCCTTCAGGTAAGTGATAGGTAGCTATTGGCACTGCACAAAATCTATGGAATCACTCATTTTCTCTGCAGGTGAAAAAAAAATTAGAATTATGCTACGGAGCCCCTGCTGCCCTGTGGCTGGCCAGTCAGCACTGAGGTAAATTTTAGGGAGAACTCGTCTCTCACCTGTTTTTTCTCTTTTTCAGGGACTCAGTGCAGCCACCAAGGACACTTATGATGCTCTTCAAATGCAGGCTTTGCCCCCCCGCTAAGTGGGAGTCACAGAGGGGATGGGCAAGAAGGAGAGATGCCCACAGGCTCTGGGGGGAGAGGAGGAGAAGCCTTTTTCATCCCACACAAGCACTGCGTGTTTTCTCCGTGCAATAACCTGCTTTGGTTGGTGCACAGAGGGAGCATGTCTGGAGTTGTCCAGTCCCTTCTCCCTTTCCTCCTGAATCATGCAACTGCAAGCTTTTGCTATTAAAATGTACATATCTGTAAAGTTGTTTCCAGTAATAGTGGTTATTAGGCTGATTTTCTTTTTTTTTTTTTTGGTAAGGTTTGTGTTTTGGGACCAGACCACACTTTCTAACAAACACAGCTGTTTTCACAGCTCTTCCTTGCCTTGCAGGGGTATCATGACATGTAACTATTGTTTCATTGCATTTAAACAACTTGTAAAGATAGGGCTGTAGTTATTTCCTGTGGTATTTATCTTAAGACTGACACTTTTTGCTTTTAATTTGCCTTTAAAAAACTGCTTCAGTTTTTAAAAAACTGCTCCAGATTACTTTTTTTTTCCCTTTAATTGTAAAAAGTCACGTGATGTTAGTGTAGTGCAGGACAGAGGCTGACTGGCACCATTTCAACATGAAGAAAGTGAGCACCGAGCTCCCAGAAAAGATCAAGCAATGGCACTGCCACTCAGCCAGCACTTGGAGCTAAATATGAGCCAGGTAATCTGCATGAGAGACTTCTCAAAAGGCAGATGATGATACCCCTGTTACAATGAAAACAAGGAGGATGGACTCCCATATATCACTTCTGGGCAACAGAAACTGTATAAAAGCCAACGCAAATCCAGTTTCCAAACCAGTCTATCATCAGGTTACCTCTAAAAGATGCAGGTGTGATTCCAAAGAGGTTCTAGGTCAATAATGCAACGTGCTTTTGATGAATTAATAAAGGCAGTGGCAGCCCTGTGCGTGCAGGGAACAGCTGTGAGAAGGGCCTGAGCTCGTGAGCTGCCACGTTCAGCCCGGCTGAACCGACCTGCACCCAGCAGCATCATCTCCCAGGGAGGCTGAAGAGGACAATATTCCAACAGGAGCTTCTAAACACACCCTGAGCAGTGGGATGGGGTTTTGGTAAAATGCCCCAAGCCCAATTATAAGAGGGGCACTCACCTCCTGCTGCTGCAGCCTCAGTTTTGCCTGTGACTTAAAAGGCTGCACAATGACACCTGCAAGAACTCAGCAAGGACAAAAACAGCCCAGCAAAACAAACCCTGTTTTACCTCGGGTCAGGAGCTGACCAGCTCATTCTGTCAGTCTTACAGAAGAAGCAGAGCTAAAGCAAGACTGTGGGAACAAAAGTTCTGCCCGGATGAAGTCATGTCTTCTTTTCAGGGACTGGGTGGGTTAGCAGCAGAAAAACTTGTTGAAGTTGCTGCTGTGCAAGTGACAAGGTTGTTTTACATCTTCAGCAGTAAAACTGTACCTGCAGTAGGTGCTTGTAGCTTTTAAAGAATATTTCCAATAAATTAGAGCAAAAAAAAAAGTAAACTGAGAGATGGTAACGAATGTTTCTTGGGGGGAAAAAAAAAATTCCTAGATCCCTTACTGTTCTTCTGCAATGACAAAAAAAAATCTGAGAGAAGTGGGTGATACCTCAGCCACCTGACTTGAAAATTACAGTAAAGTTACTACTACAAAACACCAATGCAAGAACAAACAGTACTGAAAACAGCTTTCTCTTTTTAAATAATCACAACTGTATCTGCAAGATATAGAAATCACAAGTTTTGGCAGCCATAAAATACCAACGACTAAGCAATAGGAATGAAATTCTCTAGGGAAAAAAAATATCACCTTTATGCTCTTTATATATATATATATATATATATATATATATATAAACTGATATCTTGACTCAAAAGCATCCAACACTTGTTTCAGGGACACTCACCGTAGGTGTGAGCTGAGTCTCCTCTTTGCCTTCAAGAAGCAACTGGAGATGTTTCTGCTTTTAGGAGAGGAGCTGATAAACAGAGAAGTAGAAGAAAAGCTTCAAGCAGAGTGCAAAAAACCCGTTCTGTCTCCTCCAGTTTGAGACAAAGGGCACGAAGGACCAATCTTCTGGCCCACTTTGATCCATGGGGGGAAGGGGAATCCACCTCCCCTAATACATTCAAAAACTACAAACAAGTGCATACATGTTAAAACACTTGGAAAATGGTTTAATGATGTTTACAACAGAAATTAACTGTACAATTACAGTAAGTTTAATATATATAAAAAATTACAGCAGACAAATGCATCTACACAAAATCTACCTTTTCATTCTGATTTACTGTAATCTACACAATCTCTCAATGCCTACAGCTATCTGTAGGCAACCACTGGGAAAATAATAATAATAATATAATAATAATAATAATAATAATTATAAAGGACATCTTTAAAGAGACAGCATTTCGCCTTCCTCCTCACCCTTAGTGTGATCAGCAAGGTTTTGAAATGTGTGGGACTCTCACATTTCAGTCTCAAGAAAAGCTTGGGTTGGGTTTGGGTAGGGTACTCCCATATGGCCCTTGATTTCAAGTGTTCTGCTGACCTCAAGTGTATAAATGCAGTGTATGAGGAAGGGCAAGAGAAAAAAAAAAAACTCCCAGCCAGTGTAAGCAGGCAGCTGCACAGAGCAGTGAAACCATTAGGACCGAAAACTTGCCTTATTTAGGGAAAAAAAAAAGCAAAAAGGGACTGCCCAGATGCTCCAGACATTCACAAATCCTCACCTCTTTGGAAACTATAACCGGATTTAGAAGAAAGGGGTTGGTTTTCCACTCTCAATTCTTCATACAAAGGGGTACTTTTCAAACTAACATGTTAAATAATTATTTTCTTTTTTAAATAAAATTTAAGCAACTTCCTCTTTGGCCCATCCCTTAAAAACAGTGAAAACCCCTTTACACTGAGAAAGAACCTCAGGTCAATGGGGGAAAAAAAAAGAACATGCTGTCTCTTTAAAAACAAAGAAAGAATCCCAGTTGGGAGCGGCCATCAGTGAAAATGCAATCCAAATTGGCGGTCTGGTGGAAATTCCTCATGGAATATTATGTACAGTTTAAAAACCCTTTGCAGTTGGTTTTTTTTCTTTTTATTATTTATGAACACCTAGGCAGTGAAAACTGTTATGTTAATACATACATAGACACACCCAAAACATACAAAAATACTATTATTTCAAACTACTAAGAATAGGACAAGTTCAGTTATCTCCATGCTATGACTTTAAGAGCATTACACTGAAACAAACAAGAATTTAAACGACAATTTTTTAATATCCCAGAAATATACCAAAATATACATCTAAGCTTTGGAATTACTGAGGTTAGACTAATGCAAGTGCTGGGTAATCGTACTTAATACACAAGTCTAAGGTTCTGCAGGAAAGAAATTATCTTTGGTATCTGCATCAGGCTAATAATATTAACATTTGGATTTTGCTTTGGGATAGAGCTTGTATGACCCTAGAACCAAACACCCCCCAATCAACTGAGATTAAAAAGATCCATGTAAAAAGTTCCTCCATTTGCAATCCCCCCCCAAAAGTTAAAAAGTCACAGGCATCTACCTAGCATAAAAGGTTGAGAAATACAATGCATAGTTGCACAGTGGTGCTGCAAAAATAAAAAGAAATCTAGAAAAAAGGAACTAGAGGAGAAATGAAAAGCTGCTTCTTCTTCTTTCAGGGATTTCTCACAACAGGACAGCCTCTTCCAAGCAGTGAAGGGGGGGGGAAAGCTCAGAAGTGCACCTCAGCGTGTATTAATCAACATCACCCAGCCCCCAGAGGGTTAAAGCACCCAGCAGAGCAGCCAATCCTGCACCCAAGTCTTCAGCTCCTCAACCCACCTGCGAAGCCCCCCCGAGCCGCCCCCTCCCAGCGCCTGCGCCCCAGATTTCACCCTGGAGCAGGGAATTTCTTCCTGGGGTGTTTCGGAGCCCCGGGCTGGGCAGAGACCCTTGCCCTGGCCAGACCGGCCTCACAGATGGGCTTGGTGCTGAAGACGCCCTTTGTCTTTGGTTTGTTTGTTTGTTTTGAGTTTATACAATCATTAGGAAATCTTTGGTTTTGGCTGGAAATTTTAAAAGAACAAAACAAAACAAAGAAACCGCCCCCTCCCGACTTATAGCAGCCACCGTGACCTGACAAAGCTTCTCTTTCCCATGGGGGTAGGGGAACTACATTCAAATAAAGATGGACCGGGTTAAGGATGCAGCTTCTGGCCAGGTGGGGGAGTGGGGGAAGGGATACAGGATTGTCAAATAATAAAGAAGAAAATTAAATATTTGGAGATTTCTATTTTTTTTCTTTGTTTTTTTCTTTTTTGGTCATGTTAAAAAGTGAGTAGCATGTACGCAGCACTGGGCTGAGAGTGCCTCGGGGCCCTGGAGTTCAGTGTGGCCCCGGGGTGGGAAAAGGCAGCGCGGGTGGCCCTTTTCCGCAGAGAGTGGAGGGGAGGGGATGGATATTCACAGACTAATCAAGAGGACCCCTTGTAACCAAAGGAAATAAGATAAGATTGCAATTTGCCCTCACTTTGCAGTAGCTTTTAAGCAGCGACATTCAGAGGCGTTAGGGGGTCACCTCCCCAGGTTGCAGGTCACGGGGTGCTATAGGCCAGAGTTCAGTGTTAATCAAAGGAGGGAGGGCAGACTTGGCAACTCTGTGGGGTTTGGAGAAAGTTAAAGCAAGTTACTCAGTTACGAGTTAGAAATGAGGTATACGACAGCTCCTGTACCTGTGGCGGATAAACACCCCACACCTACTCACACCTAGCCTTAGACACTACCACAGAGGAAGGAAATGGAACAACAGCACTGGCGGGGACGCAGAAGCTCCTGCCCAGGTCCTTCCCACGGACCGCTGGCACACCAGGCGCCCCAGTGCTGCTCCAGCCCTCGCCAAGCCACCCGCGGGGGGCTCTGCAGCGGTCCCTTCCCTTCCCTGGCTTGCAGGGAGGCGCAGTCTGGCTCCCCGGGAACTCGCGGGGAGCGGCCCTGATCTCCAAGTCTTTTGCTTTGCGTTTCCCCCTCGGACTCGCTCAGGTGCCGGGAGCACCGGGGTCACAGAGGCCGACACATGCAGAGTGAATGGGGGAAGAACTAAAGGTTTTGTCTCAACTGCCTTGTTCTCAGGACACTGTCACGGGTGCTCTTGTTCCTAAATTGTTTCCCAAGGGGGTCGTGCGATCTCCACGATTTGCCCCTTGGCGTGCCATTCCCAAGGTCTCAGGATTCCCACTGTTCAATAATTTCGGGTTTTTAAAGCACCGCAACGTGCCGGCTTTGAACGCACACGAAGTTAACGACATTAGGGGAATGGGGCTTCAGTAGCTGCTGCTACAAAATTCAGCAAAGGCAGTGTGAATCCTGAAGTGGGGCCTACAACATGATAAGACAATTTTGGGAGGAAAGGGGAAACTAACGTGATAAATTAAGTATCTTACGGTATTATGTAAAGCTCTGCCGGAGAATATTCACCAGCAGATCAACACAGATTTAAGACAGATCAGCATTTTGGTCTGAGCTACTTGACAATGTCCTGTTTGGTAGAGAGATGAAATAAGGCAGAGGGGGTATTGTTCCAGTTCTGGGGCTGAGCCTCAGCAGCACTAAGGAACGCCAAAGGGTATCATCTTCCCTCGCCTCCCACAAGCTGTTTCATTTCCTTCCTCAGATTTGTTTTCCATAAAGCACACCTTGTTTTCCACTTCTTTTGTTCCAAGTGCTCTTTTCTTTGAGAAGTCATTTCTTCAATATCCCTATTACTATCTATAAATCTAACTAGCTCTTTGAAAAGTCACACAATATTAATACCACTTTTACATAATGTCAGAACAACAATTCTATTAGTAAAGCTTTCAGTGAAGTTCTGCAACCCGATTGGTGTACGGAGGAAGAGCAGCTGGACAACCTGCCTCTCCCCCTTCCTCCCTCCCTTTCTTCACAAGAGCTCACCAAGTTCACTGATAAAACAGCTCAGCCCAATAGCACAATACATGAACATGTACAAGGCTGCTTTGGGGAGCAAAGAAAGGAGTCTTCAAGGTCCCTCCCCTAAGAGAAAGACCATATGCAAAAGCTGTTGAACAGACTCTGACCTTGGACTACACTGCTTCCACATTTGAAGGAAAGAAACAGTTTTCCCTGACTGTATCCCAACATCAGCCTAAGACCTGCAGCACTGGGCAAACCCCACATACTGTTTGTCTTCACAGAGCCAAAGCAACTCTGTGCAGAAAAGGTGGGAGTACCCGAAAGAGATGAGGTCCTTAGAGAAAGGGACACTGACCCAAAGCTCAAAAAACCCCCACCCAGCTTCTCCTCTTACCCGCTCTGAGAACAGCAGAGCTGACAACTTATCAGTGCCTTTGGTTCCCTACGAGGCCACTGGGAATTCTCCCGCCCCAGTGGAGTTGAGCTCCTTTAGAAACCCACCTCTCTGGATCAGCGCACACAGCCAGGCGCACACACGCACTCGCACACACACCCACGCACACCCCTCCCCTCTTCCCCTGCTCCATCAGCCTGGAGGGGAAACGGGAAGGGAGCCTTGGAGTCCGGTTGGAGTGGGCTGCAACGCCCTTCCCAAGGCAACAACCACTCGCTCTTCTGCTACTCCCACCGCAACACCAAGACATAGGCCAGGAGAACGACCCACTGCCTCGCCAACAACACCTCAAAGCTCCTCTCCCACAACCGTCTCACAGTATTTCAACCCTTTCAGGCAGACCAGCCAGGTGTTAGGAGTAGGTTAGCTTTCACCTCTCAGTTTGGTTTTTTCTTTCATAGTTTTTGGTCTAGACAGGATTAGCATTGCTATTAGAAAAGGAAGTGTTTAAAAAGTTTTCCACCTATTATCAAGCACTACAAGCCCTACATTCAGTAACAAGACAAGGGGGATAAAAGGAACCTGTTTCACTTTTGCTCTCCCAGATAAGATTAAGATGCGACAACCATTCTTGTCCCTTC